TGAAGAAAAATCAAAATTTAATAATTCAGCCATCTCATAATCATCAGATACTAGCCTTCCTTTATCATCACTCAAGGGTTTTACCCCATCCTAATATTTTGTTTACCTTAATGTATTTAAAGAATCCTTACTGTTAATTTGTACTTTTTCAGCCAACCATTTTCATACATCCTTTTTGATGTCCTAATTTTCTGTTATTACCAACTTTCTTGATCTTGTATAATCTTTTAAGTCTTCTGCCACACTAGTCAATTTAAATTTCTTAAATACATTGATACATTTCTTTAATTTTCTCTCTTAAACTCTTTGTGAACAACCTGGTTTTTAGCTTGCAGACACCCTTTTCTTTCTATAAGGAATATGTGATCAGTGTCTCCAAATAAGTCAGTTACTCAATTCACAACATATACTTCTTGTTGAAGCCCCTCAAAATTTGCTTTTTTGAAATTTGTAACTGTATTATCATTATTCCTTATATCCAAAACATTTAACCTAATAGAGCAATGATCACTTGCACCTAGATGTTCCCCAACTTTCACCCTCTCGATCATTTCTATATTTGAAGTTAACAATAAATCTAAAATAGCATTGTTTCTAGTAGGTTCCTTGACTAACTGGTGAAGAAAACCATCTTGAACAATTTCCAAAAACCTTTCTCCCTCATGATTTGACTCTAGCATTTCCTAATCTATATGCCTGAAATTAAAATCACCATAACTATGACTTCATTAACCCTTTCCAGACGGATCACGGGTGAAAGGCCATGTCATCACGTTTGTTGACTCCCATTAAAAATTTTATTGAACTACTATTTCATGAATTTATGTCCATAAGTTTGGTATCAAACTGTAGGTTATAATTCAAATGTTAGAACTATACATTATATAATTTCTTAATTTTTAAACTAAATATTAAAAACACAGATAAACATCTATTTTTGTGTGTCACGTGGTATGTTGAATGCAGCACTGGTTCAAATTAGATGTTTGTGAAGTCAAAATACTAAGTCTATAGTTTCATACAAATTAGGAACTCAAATTACCAATATTGACAAGCTGGAATATTGGTCATGTAATAAATCAAACATAGTGGCACCCCGCCCACCTTTTCCATTTTTGGAAACGCTTCCTTATTTAAAATTACTTGTATATATGAAATTAATAACCAATCAGAAGCTCAGAATGTTCCCCTAGTGGCTTTCTCAGCCATTTTAATGGACTTGGCACTATTTCTTTCTTATGTACCAATATTTCAATGAGGTAAGGTGTGTCTTTAGTCTGCTTGAAATTTCATATTTTTTAGACTAAAATACATCTTAGTTACTAAGTTTAATAACTTATAGTGGAATTTTATGGTATTAATGTAGTAATTTATGATTTTTTAGTTATTCAAATGTCATCAAACCTGTACAGGATTCGTTACTAAAAATAACAGATATAATATAAACTTTTTCCTTAAGAAATATTTGATTACTATCTTGACATTATAAAGATTTCGCATGTGAAATTTCAAAATTTTCTTATGCATAAAATTATTTTTAATCTTAAAATGAAAATTACTTTGTATATTGGATAGGCAAGATGTGAAAAGAATAAAAAAAGCATGAGAAAAACATTACTTTACAAACCTTAAGACTTAATAAAAAAATTGATATTTTGCATATGAAAGCATTGTATTGTTTACTGATAATCTGCCAAATTTTGTTAACATTTGCTAACTAATTTAAAAGTTATAGCATAAAAACTATAACAACCACAAAATGGTTATGAGGTCAGTCCCAGAGACTGAGCCGTGCTGGAAGATTTAACAGCTGAAATCTTAATCTCATTGTAAAGTTTCTCACTAATTTCATCAGTATCATTTGGTGGTCTTTAACAAAGTACCACTGAAAGCCTTTTCCCTTCATATCCTCTAATAGAAACCCAAATGGATTCAATCTTCTTGCTATTATCTTTGATATCCTTAACTTTAACAGGATGCTATTCCTATTAAATAGCCTTTTATCCAAATCATCTATGTTTAACCATGTTTCAATTATATAAAAATCCTCCACTCCTACCAGAGCTCTATAAAGTCATCTACTTAATTTCTTATACTTTTAGCATTACAATAGTAATAATTAAGCCTATCCTTATAACTACTTCTATACTCATTTCTTATGCAAAACTTTTCTCTGTCTCTTATTGTTCTTGCATTTAAAGACCCTAAGTGGGTTATTAAGTGGAAGTTACATGTTCTTATAACTTGGTGAAAAGTTACAAATCTTGGTAGATTATTAACTGGATATTGCCTAGTATTATCAATGACAAAGTGTTTACTGTTAACTGAAAGTTAGAGAAGTTTTGCTCCACTTTATCAAGTGGTAAAACAAAGTGGGTTGTTAATTGGAGGTTAAAAAGTTTTATCACTTGCTAAAGTGTTACCAAACTCACTAAGTTGTTAACTGGAAGTTACATAGTTTTACTACTTGATAAAGAGTTACAAAATTTAAGTGGGTTGATAACTGGAAGTTACTGAGTGACATGTTACAGATTCTCTTGGTTCACAACACCTTTAAACATCAGACGTGAAATTGGATGATACAGCTGTTCTGGTTACTTACAACCTTGGTTCACAACACCTTTAAACATCAGACGTGAAATTGGACGATACAGCTGTTCTGGTTACTTACAACCTTGGTTCACAACACCTTTAAACATCAGACGTGAAATTGGATGATACAGCTGTTCTGATTACTTACAACCTTGGTTCACAACACCTTTAAACATCAGACATGAAAGTGGATGATACAGCCATTCTGATTACTTACAAACTTGGTTCACAACACCTTTAAACATCAGACATGAAAGTGGATGATACAGCCATTCTGATTACTTACAAACTTGGTACACAACACCTTTAAACATCAGACATGAAAGTGGACGATACAGCTGTTCTGGTTACTTACAACCTTGGTTCACAACACCTTTAAACATCAGACATGAAAGTGGACGATACAGCTGTTCTGGTTACTTACAACCTTGGTTCACAACACCTTTAAACATCAGACATGAAAGTGGATGTTACAGCTGTTCTCGTTTCTTACAACCTTGGTTCACAACAACTTTAAACATCAGACATGAAAGT